ATTTCAAAACCCCTCCCCTCATCTTCTTTTCTTTTGTGGAAAAGCTGACTTGGAAGGAAACATAAGATGGTCCATAAGGGTATGAATCTGCTGTCTTCTCAAATCACCAGCCTTCTGAATGAAGCACCCAGGAAGATTGAGTCCCTGTCAGTGCTTACTGGGTTCACTATGTGACAGGCAGCATGAAGGTCAGCTTTTCTGGTTTCAAATGGACTTAAAGGAGTTTTTTAGATTTACGTGAGGAAAGGAGTGTATGTTTGTGTAGTAAATGGCATTATGGTCCCTTGTTCTGTGTCATAGTGGCCTCAGAGTAAGTGGTATTGACTCCAGGCAGTTTTTGTTTTTGTTTTTGCAGTGCAAGTTCCTGAGTCATACTCTGATTATTGAGGTGTGCACTTCAAAGACGGCTGTGTGGGATAACAGGGCCAGGCCAGGCATGGGGACCAGATAGAGACCCAGGCAGCAGGCTCTCTGTTTCGGGCCCCCTGCCCCAGGCTCCTGGGTTCTAGGGCTCTTGGGATCATTTCAGTAACTGACCACTTTGAGTCCCTTAGTTTTTTTTTCTCCCACCTTTAAATTCATGGTTTTATGCTTTAAATTCAACAACAAAGAGTGAGTCCAGGAAATACTAGGCCCTCACTGTCTCCCCCTAAAAGCAGAACCCCAGGCCCTGCAGCTCTCTCCACCTGCAGCCTTGCTCTGTGACCTCAGGTGTGCTGTGTAATGAGCTCGTGTCTTTTCAAAGTGTCCTGATGGTGTTCCTGAGGGAGTCTAGGAGTCACAACAAGAACCAAAGGGCTGGGCAGCCACAGCATTGGTCATTGGGGGCTGGGCCCTGCACTCAGCTCTAAACCCACTCCCGCCTGTGAGACAGCTCACACTTGTCTCACCTCCTACAGCGTGTTGGCTTCTCTCCTTCAACAGCATGTTTATGAGATTTACCCTCCCATGGTTGTGCAAGTGATGTTTACACTTTTGCTCTCTTGTATCCTGTTGCATACATATGACAATAGTGATTTACTGCATTGTTGATGGGCATTGGAGTGTTTTCCAGTGTGAGGTCACCGTGAACTCAGCTGCTGGGATGACACCTGCCTCTCACGTCCTTTTCTGTTTCCTTGGAATTCTGGGACATTGCCTCAGTTAGTACCCAGGTCACAAGTCGGCTTTCTGAGTTGCCTTATTTACTACTAATTACTTCCAGTATTAATTTAAATTCAGAAATTATGCTTTGTGTACCTAAGAAATATTATCCTTCTTTGATTACATTTTTCTATACCTTTTTTTGTCCTAGTTAATAATAGATATGACAGTTTTTTTAAACTTGTTCTTGGAACCTTTAGTGGTATTTCAACCTTGTGACTTCATTTCCTGTGACAGCTCTGTTACAGCTTGTGCATGGGATGAGGCTTCGAGAAAGTTCCCCAAACAGCTAGAGTTGTTTTCAGTCTCAGGGAAAAGCAAACGGTTAAAGTGCGTATAATAGGCTACACAAATTTGAAGTTCACATGTAAGAGTTTTCCAGTGGATATTTAAAATCCAGTAAGGTCATGGGCTTTCTTGTGTAGATGTTTTTAGTGACAAGAGGGGCTCTGGACCCCTTCTAGCTATGCCCAAGAAAACAAGACTGTCTGTCTCCTACTGTCTTCTGCTTAATTTTTTTCTCTCTTTGGACAGACAGCTTGCCACAGCCCATCACCTCTGGAGTACGCCCCACACATAGGGAACAGGGAGCTTTGGGGCTGTGTCCCCACTGCCATGCAGGAGTCCCAGACACAGCACTGGGTGCGGAAACCACTCATCTGGATGTGTCTTTCAACGTGGCCAGGACAACAAAGTAAGCGATTTAGATCCATCACACTCTCAACATGTTGGTGTGTCCCCTTGTTTCTTAACAATTGTTACAAACCACTGGGAGCCGTGATGGTTTGGAGTGGCATCAGACCACACTGCCAAGTGCAAATCCTACTCAGGGCCACTGTCTCTTTCCCACCTCGGTAGCTCAGAACAGCAGTATCTGTGTGCGTCCAACTGGCACAGAACGTGGGGGAGAAGAAAGCCGAAGCTGACATAAATTCAGGGAGAAATCAAGATAAATGAGTGGAACAATGCTTGTATGTTATAGTCAGGGATTTCGTACATTCTTCCAGAAATTGCTGATCCTGAGGAAACAGAAGTTTGCACTGAGCAGAGTAGGGCCTGTAAATACTCACGAGAACATTTAAAAATACATCCAATCCAGTATTTTTAGTTCTGTGAAGTGGGAGGGTCAGTCTGAATACTATTGCCTGCCATTCATTTATAGACACAGAATTATGTGATCAAACAAAAACAGGCAAACAAATGCAGTTCCAAGAAGTAATACCACCTGCCTTTTCATTCAATATGCATGTGGCAGAAGAGAAATGAAGAAAATACACAGAGAACATGAAGAGTATTGCGAAAGTAATACTGATCACCTCTCTGCTGAGTAGTCCTGCAAATATTTCCCTGGAGCCTGACTCTGTCTTCCAAGTCCTGAGTGTACATTTAAAGGAGTCTGGTAGGTATTCTATGCAGATACCCAAGGAGGAGTCACTAGAAGGAGAAACTCAGTTGTGTTCAAAACTGTCCCTCCATGAGTTCTTCCAGTTTTCCCCTGTGGTCATGCCCAGGGGTGGTGGTGATCACCTTTATCCCAATGTGATACCATCATCATTCTGTCCTTCCATAGCTCCCAAGGCCTGTATCGCTCTGCCCAGGCTTGTCCATCTGGTGAAACCTACTCCTCATTTGGGTTTCATCTCACAGGTTGCTTGGTCTTTTAAGCACTCTCTGGTGTCACCAGACAGAATTGACATGCTACTTCCTGTCCTGGCTGACACCTCTGATTGAAGGGCACATTACATGACATGTGGTTACAATATTCTTCTTCTCCACATTTCCTTCCCACTAGGCTTTGTTCTTTTCCTGAAGGAAAGAATCATTTTCAGTTCACTTCTCTTTTCCAGTGTTTGGTAAAGTAGAGAAAAAAGTTGATTTGTAAAATTAACCTCTTTCTCTCTCTCTCTTCCCTCACATACAGGTAGACAAAGAGAGATAGGGAGTGGATGTCTGAAATAACATTTCATTGCACAGGGCATGGTGATGGCTGCAGCTGCTGTGGGTGGTTGGCTGAGGTGGAAGAAAGTGGGCAAGGCCGGGTACTGAGTGAAACAAAACCCTGCCACCTGGTGGGCACGCAGGGCTGGGGACCAGTTTATGTGCAGACAGGAGGTGGCTGTGCTCCACTGTGTCTAAGCTGCTGGCACAGAGGTACAGAGCTGTCTGGTCCTTCCGGGTCGATGGCATGGTGAGAGGAAAGGTCGCCTTCTCCTCCCGAGAGGCCTGGTAGCCTTCAGCCAGGTCTCCCTTAGCAACATCGGTCTCACCTCGAGAGATGTAGATCAGCCTCAGCCCCTGCCCTGGGTCCTGTCGGTACCAGTACATGTTGTCATGGCCTAAGTCCTGTTCACACTGCAGGGTCACAGCTCGACCTTCCTCTCTGGACAGGTATTTTGGGGTCTGAGTGATTCCACCACCCACTGTGCCTATGGAAGAAAGAGGAAGGTTCTGGATGCACAGCCCAGGAGAGTGCCTCTGCTGCTGTTATGGGAAAAAGATTAGTTAGACATGGAGCATGTCACCCTCAGGACAGGAATTTGCTCCCTGAACCCAGGACTCACCTGCCCCCAGAACACAAAGGGCCATGCAGCAAAGTACCTGGCTGCCCATAGTGGGAAAGGGGGTCCCCTTGTAGCTATAGGCACTTGCAGGAAGACAAATGAGGAAAAAGACTTAGCTCTGGGGATCCCCTCTGTGTGTGTGCAGAATGTGCCAGAAGGCTAGAAAGACAGTGGAAAGAGGCCCTGGAGGTAATCAATTTAGGCTCCCTAATTTTGCAGTTGAGGAGACAGAGCAGAGGAGACCTGGATTACTTGCACCCCATTCCCTTGTGCCTCCCTCTGGCCTGAGTGGCTGACACCCAGCAGAGTCTCACTGTGATTGGCCTGTTGGCTGTGCCCTTCCTAGTTAAGGTGAGGTCTGCTCATGACAGCAGCCTGGAGAGATGCGGGTCACACAAGAACGTAGAATTCATCTTTAGTCCCATCACTGCATGGATACCACTCTGCTGAAATCCATCCTGCATTCACCCCAGGACCCTGTTTTATTCCAGAACCTTCTCCCTGGCTGGTTTTTATTTGCCATTATCTCATAGAAATTTTCCTGTTTTTTTCAGTGCCTGAACTAGATTTCCATCTGAGTGTTCTATGCGTATCTAAATGAATTCTTCATTTCTTAGGTACATTTGACTTTTGCTTCCATTTCTTTCCTGAGTTCTATAAAAAATCTTTTTTTTCTTCCTGTCTTTTTGCCATTTCTATTAATAATTTCTGAGCTCTGGTTTAGGATGGTTATCTTCAACTGCTTACTTGAATATATATGTTTGAAGTGTAGACTTAAGTTTTAATTTGACACATGATGTTTTGGGGGGAGGCAGTTGTAGGTGATTTTTCCCCTCTATCCTATGGAATCTATATTCCTATTATTCATTTTCATAATATTTCCAATATTCACAGCTCAATCCCATTGTTCTAGCAAAGTCAAAACACTTCTGTAAGTTTTTTTATGTGGGGAAGGTGGTATAAGTTCTCTTATTTCATAATTGTCATCTATTTTCCAGGACTCTAAAATTTCTTCTATTTCTTCTTTTTCTCCTTCCCTCCACAGTAGCCAGAGGACCTTTCTTCCTATCTTTTTATAGTTCTGCTCCCCTGCCCAGTCTTCCTCACCAGAAGCTCAGTATTTAGAGGACCATCTCTTTAAATCTTCTGTCTGGCCCTTTAAATGGGGTGCACTTTGACCCTCTCCCTCCAGTCCTGCTCAGGTCTGACTCTAGGGGAGACAGGCAGGGGGCTGGGGCTCTTCTCCCGGGGCTTCTCCAAAGCTCCTCAGCCCCCTCTGTTCCTGGCAGTTTTTCTTCATTGACGTCTCCTGCAGAACAGGGAGGGGAGGGACTACAGTGTGTGCAACTATTTCAGAAAATGAAGAGGCAGGAAACAGGACAGAGAAGTGTGGTTTATACCTGTGCTGGTGAAGGGGGGACGTCCTTGGTACTAGGCGATTGAAATGTTTTTGCCAGTGCCTGCCTTTTAATTTCCTGAAATAGTTTCATCAAAACAATGGGAAGAAACACTGTTTTCTACATCCCCAACATCTGTTCAGGGATGAAATGTAAAAAATTATTCAAAGAGATAAAAAAAATTGTTGAGATGATATGTTTTTAATGAGCAGAATTTGGGGGCCAGACATGTCTCCTCTACTTCACACAGGTTTATCCAACCCTGTTTTCTCCATTTCTGGGGTGTCATATGGCACCTGAGGAACCAGGCCACAAAACCAGGATTATTCCAGAAGCGTAAGAGGATGCACAGCCTGGCATACAAGACACAACCTCTGACACACATAACAGAACATGGTTTATAAATTTCCATTCCCTCTCTCTCCCCCTCTCTCCACACACAGATGGCTCCATCAGAGCAGCTGTGGTTCCCCTCCCCCAACATCCCCTTCCCCAGGGCTCCCCAGGCTGGGTGCTGGGAAGAGGGGCAGAGGTTCTTGCCTGGGCCTCTGATCTCTGCCCAGCGCTGTGTCACTGGCAGCACAGAAGTAGAGGCCGCTGTGTTCAGGGCGTGCACTGGCCACCGTCAGAGCTGAGAAAGTCAGGTTTGGGTGGCTGATGGGAAAGTTGTCCTTGGAGAAACCTTGTTCGTGTGTGGCAGGTGAGCCCATGTTGGAAGTCACCATCAGTACGAGGCCCTGATTCGGGAACTGCTGATACCAAAATATAGTTGAGGCCTGAATGTCCACTGCATGGCACTCGATTGTCACGGGGATCCCGCTTGCACAGATGACCCTGCTTGGACTTTGAGAGACGTGAGCACTGAGTCCAGAGCCTGCAGGGACAGAGGTCAGAGCCATGAAGGAGGCCAGCAGAATCAGTCCCAGCTGACCACAGGCAGGAAATGCAGGCCCTCACCCTGTATCCCCTCCCCTTTTCCTCCAGCCCCCAGAGTCCTGTTTGTTGGTGAAATCTTCCTGTCAGACTCCCTGGGATCAGAAGCCCCCATCTGCCCTGACTGGTGACCTCTCACTTGACCTCCCTTCTTAGGATCAGCACAAAACCCCACCAGCTCAGGCCACCCCATCAAAATGCCAACAGGCACACACACTCGCCCAAGCCACTCAGATAATCAAGCTCGTACTGGGTCCCAGAAGCAACGGAAGCAGCAGTAGCAGCAGCATCTTCAGGTGTTGGCCTCACACCCAATGTCTCAAGAGAGGTGTGACCAGCTCTTCATTCTTCCTTTCTCCACACTCAGAACAGATTAAAGGGTGGGACTGGGGGGAGGGTAGCTGGTACTGAATCCCAAGGATGATGCTCTCTTCTGCCCCCTGGTGGTGATCTGTCCCAATGAGGCAGGCCCATTGCTTTTCCTCCCTCCCAGAGAATGATATGCACACTGCTTAAGGGGCCTTGGAAGGTCCTGATTCTACTCCTGTTTATAGATGATAGACCTAGACCCAGACCATTGAAGGGACTTAAACTACATTTTTAGACTGACATAAGGAAGGGACTATATGCTTGTGTAGTGAATGGATCACAGTCACATCTTTTGTGCCACAGCCTCACAGTAACTCCTGTTAGGACAGTTTTTGTTTTTGTTTTTTTGTGGTGGAAATACTTACGTTATACTTTGACTGCTGAGGCATCCACTTCAAAGATGGCTGTGTGGGATAACAGGGCCAGGCCAGGCACAGGGACCAGATAGAGACCCAGGTAGGAGGCTCTCTGTTCTAGGTCCCCTGCCCCAGGCTCCTGGGTTCTAGGGCCCTTGGGTTCATTTCAGTGACTGACCACTTTGAGTCCCTTAGTTTTCCTTCTCCTGCCTTTAAATTCATGGTTTTATGCTTTAAATTCAACAAGAGAGCCCAGGAAACACTAGGACGCCACTGTCTCCCCCTAAAAGCAGAACCCCAGGCCCTGCAGCTCTCTCCACCTGCAGCCTTGCTCTGTGACCTCAGGTGTGCTGTGTAATGAGCTCGTGTCTTTTCAAAGTGTCCTGATGGTGTTCCTGAGGGAGTCTAGGAGTCACAACAAGAACCAAAGGGCTGGGCAGCCACAGCATTGGTCATTGGGGGCTGGGCCCTGCACTCAGCTCTAAAGCCACTTCTGCCTGTGAGACAGCTCACACTTGTCTCACCTCCTACAGCGTGTTGGCTTCTCTCGTTCAACAGCGTGTTTATGAGATTCACCCTCCCATGGTTGTGCAAGTGATGTTTATACTTTTGCTCTCTTGTATCCTGTTGCATACATATGACAGTAGTGATCTACTGCATCGTTGATGGGCATTGGAGTGTGTTCCAGTGTGAGGTCACCGTGAACACAGCTGCTGGGATGACACCTGCCTCTCACATCCTTTTCTGTTTCTTTGGAATTCTGGGACATTGCCTCAGTTAGTACCCAGGTCACAAGTCGGCTTTCTGATTTGCCTTATTTACTACTAATTACTTTGAGTATTAGTTTAAATTTAGAAATTACATTTCTTGTACTTAAGAGATATTATACGTTTCTGATTATATTTTTCTATAAAATGTTCTTCCTGGTTAATGTTATTTGTGAAGGCTTCTCCAAACTTGTTCTGGAAACATTTAGTGATGTGTTAAAGTTCTTGAGTTTCACAACCTACAAATCCCTTGATCACTGGAATGGGGGCAATTAGGAAACTTCACAGAGAAAGAGTTCTTTTCAGCATCAGAAAAAAGCAAACAGTTCAAATACAAATAAGAGACCTTACAAATCTTGAGTGCACATTATGAGTTTTACAGCGAAAATTTTAACATCAAGAAAAGCCCACATGCTCTGTTTTGTAGATTTCTTTACTGACATGAGGGACTCTAGGCCCCTGCTCCTTATGCCCAAAAGGACAAAGAAAGATAAGACTGTCTCTTACTGTCTTCTGCTTAATCTCCTTCTGCCATTGGGCAGACAGCCTCCCCCAAGCCCATCACCTCTGGAGTATGACCTGTACAAGGGGAGCAGGGAGCTTTGGGGCTGTGTCCCCACTGCCACAGAAGTCCCTGACCCAGCAGCTGGCTCCGGAAACCACTGATCCAGACCAGTCTGCAAACATGACTGGAAGAAACAGTGTAAAGTGATTAAATCCATCACACTACATATATTTTGGTTGGTGTGTCCCCTTGTTTGTTAACAAATGTTAGAGAACATTGGTGGCCATGATGACTTGGAGTGCCCATCAGACCACACTGCCAAATGCAAATCCTACTCAGGACCACTGACTCTTTCCCACCTCGGTAGCTCAGTACAGCAGTGTCCGTGTGCATCCACCTTGCCCAGAATGTGTGGGAGAAGAAAGCCAAAGCTGACATAAATTCAGAAAGAAATCAAGATAAAATTCATGGAACAAAGTTTGTATGTTATAGTCAGGGATTTCCTACATGTTTCCAGAAATTGCTGGTTCTGAGGAAACACAAGGCTACACAAATGAGACTGGGTCCATAAACACTTCCATAAAGGCTTTAAAAATATATCCAATACAGTATAAAAATATATGGGAAGGTTAGTCAGAATACTATTGCCTGCCACTCATTTCTAGATACAGAATTATGTGGTGAAACAAAAACACATAAACCAATAGAGTTCCAAGAATTAGCACTGTCTGTCTTTTCATTTGACATACGTGTGGCAGAAGAGAAAAGGAGAAAATACACTGAGAAAATGAAGCATATTTGCAAAATAATACTGACCACCCCTCTGCTGATTAGTCCTGCAAATATTTCCCTGGAGTCTGAGTCTGATCTTTTAAGTTCCAACTGTACATTTAAAGGATTCTAGTAGGTATCTATGCAGATACCCAAGGAAGAGCCACGGGAACCCGAAACTCAATTGTAATCAATAACTTCCCTTCGCTCATCCTTCCAGTTTTCCCTATCACCATGTCCTGGGGATGGTGGTTATCTCATTTATCCCAATGTGATACCATCACTCTGTCTTGTATTAGCTCCCAAGGCCTGTATCACTCTGCCCAGGCTTGTCCATCTGGTGAAAGCTACACCTCATTTGAGTTTCATCTCACAGGTTGCCTCCTCTTTGGAACCCTTCCTGGTGTCACCGGACAGAATTGATGTGCTACTTTCTGTCCTGGCTGACACCTCAATTGAAGGGCACATTGCATGACATGTGGTTATAGTATTTGTTTTCTCTGTGTTTTTCTCTCCATTGGGCTTTGTAATTTTTCTGAAGAAAGAAATCATTTTCTGGTCATTTCAGTTTTCCAGTGTTTGGCAAAGTGGAAAAAAAGAGTTGATTTGTAAAATCAACCTCTCTATCTCTCTGTCTCTCTGTTTCTCTCGCTTATATAGATAGATGAACAAGGAGTGGATGGCTGAAGCACTGTAACCATTCTACACAGCATGGTTACAGCAGCAGCTGCTTTGGGTGGTTGGCTGAGGTGAAAGAAAGTGGGCAAGTATCCACCAAAAAGCCCTGCCACCTGGTGAGCAAGGAGGGCTAGGGACCCGTTTATGTGCAGACAGGAGGTAGCTCTGCTCCTGTGTCTAAGCTGCTGGCACAGAGGTACAGAGCTGTCTGGTCCTTCCGGGTCGATGGCATGGTGAGAGGAAAGGTCGCCTTCTCCTCCCGAGAGGCCTGGTAGCCTTCAGCCAGGTCTCCCTTAGCAACATCAGTCTCACCTCGGGAGATGTAGATCAGCCTCAGCCCCTGCCCTGGGTCCTGTCGGTACCAGTACATGTTGTCATGACCAAAGTCCTGTTCACACTGCAGGGTCACATCTTGACCTTCCTCTCTGAACAGGTATTTTGGGGTCTGAGTGATTCCACCACCCACTGTGCCTATGGAAGAAAGAAGGTTCTGGAAACACAGCCCAAGACAGTGGCCCTACTGCTGTTATGGTAAAAAGCTTAGTTAGACATGGAATGTGGCACCTTCTGAACAGGAATTTGCTCCCTGAACTTAGGACTCATCTGTTCTCAGAACACAAAGGGCCATGCAGCAGAGCACCTGGCCACTCAGAGTGGGAAGGGGATCCTCTTTTGCTAAAGGCACTTGCAGGAAGACAAATGAGGCAAGAGACTTAGCTCTGGGGATCCCCTCTGTGTGTGTGCAGAATGTGCCAGAAGGCTAGAAAGACAGTGGAAAGAGGCCCTGGAGGTAATCAATCAGGCTCCCTAATTTTGCAGATGAGGAGACAGAGCAGAGGAGACCTGGATTACTTGCACCCCATCCCCTTGTGCCTCCCTCTGGCTTGAGTGGCTGGCACCCAGCAGAGACTCACTGTGATTGGCCTGTTGGCTGTGCCCTTCCTAGTCAAGGTGAGGTCTGCTCATGACAGCAGCCTGTAGACATGTGGGTCACCCGAGAACATAGAATTCACCTTTAGTCCCATCACTGCATGGGTACAGCTTTGCTCAAATCCATCCTCCATTCATGCCAGGGCCCCATTTTAGTCTAGGGCCTGGCATGAGAACCTTCTCCCTGGCTGGTTTTCTGTTTTCTCATTTTTAATCTCTTAGAAATTTTTCTTCTTTTCTTCAGTGCCCAAACTAGATTTCCATCTGAGTGTTCTGTGCGTATCTATTATGTATTCTTCATTTCTTAGATAAGTTTGTGTTTTGCTTTCATTTCTTTCGTGACTTCAATCAAAAAATTTTATTTTCTGTCTCTGTTTTTGCTTTTTCTGTTCATAAATTTGATCCTCTGGTTTGTTTTCTTCAAATGCTTGCTTGAACATATTTGTTTGCATTGTAGACTTAAATTTTTCTTTTGACACTGATTGTTTTTGGGGGGAGACAGTGGAAGGTGTTTTTTATTTTTCCTGTATCCGATGGATGTTATGCTTCTATTGTTCATTTTTATGACTTTCATAATATACCCAGCTTAATCCCATTGTTCTAGCAAAGTCCAAATGCTTGCATAAGTTTTTTTTATGGATTGAAGGGTGATATGAGTCCTATGATTTCATAATTCTCATCCATTTTCCAGGACTCTAAAATTTCCCCTATTTCTTCTTTTTTCCCTTCACTACCCAGGGTGCAGAAGACTCTTCTTCCTTCCATTTCCACTGTTTTTTCCTCCCTCAAAAGCTCAGTATTCTGAAGTCCTTCTCTTTATGTCTGGTGCCTGGCCCTTTAAACGGAGTGCACTTTGACCCGTTCCCTCCAGTCCTGCTCAGGTCTGACTCCAAGGAGACAGAGAGGGGGGTTCTTCCCCTGGGGTCTCTCCAACCCTCCTCAGCCCTCTCTGTCCCCTGGCAGTTTTTCTGCTTCCCCCTGTTGCTGCAGGGCAGGGAGAGGAGGGACTGCAGTGTGAGCAATAATTTCAGAAAATCGAGAGGAAAGGCAGCAGGGTAGCTTGGTTTATACTCGTCCTGGTGAGGGTGGACGTCCTTGGTACTAAGAACTTGAAATGCTTTGCATGTATAAGCCTTTTGATTGTCTGAATTGTTTCATGGAATAAAGAAGAAGAAAAACTGTTTTCTAGGTTCCCAACATCTGTTCAGTGATGAGTTTTAAAGAATTATTCAAAGACATAACAAAAAGTTGAGATGATATGTTTCTAATGAGCAAAATTTGAGGGCCAGACAGGTCTCCTATATTTCAGACAGATTTATCCAACTCCATTTTCTCCATCTCTGGGGTGCTATATAGCAGCTCAGGCACCAGGCCACAAAACCAGGATCATTTCAGAGGGATAAAAGGATGTACAGCATGGTGCACAAAGCTCAACCCCTGAGGTACACAGACCCTGATTGATAGGTTTATATTCTCTCTCTCTCACTCACTTTTCCAGCTCCCCACTCTCCTGAGTGTGAGAAAAAAAACAAACTTCTGGAACTAGATTTTCTCCTATGGCAAATGAAAAAAACATGTCATTTGCTTGATTATCTTACTTTTTTCAATAAAATTCTGTATTTAAAGCACACACAGAGGACTTGAAGTAGACTATGAAGCAAAGAAAGGAGAAGTATTAGTCAATAAATATTTTATTGCAGAAATTATGTCACCTCTTGCATGTGACAGAGTCTGAGTTGGTGAGCAAGGGCTGGGAGGTTCCTTCCCCAGCTGGGACCCTGCCCCCTCTCCCAGCTGTGGCTGTGTGGGGGCGGGGCCTGGAGGAGGTTTGTGCTCTGGGAGGACGGGACTCTGAATTGGTGTGGACACAGAGCTGGCACAGAAATACACTGTGGAGTCACCAGGCTCTGCCAGCTGGATGTTGAAGACGCTGGGTCCCTTTTCTGGAAATCTGGCAGAAAAGCGTTTTGATGGCATTCCTGACTCGTCCATGATTTGTTTTCTCCGCAGGGAAATCATGAACTTCAGCCCTTCCTCCGGGAGCTGCTGATACCAGTAAACGTAAGTGTGGCCTGTCACGGGGCCGCACCTCAGAGTTGCCTCCTGTCCTCTCCCCACGACCAGGTGTCTGGGGTGCTGGGTGACGCTGGCATTCACGGGACCTCAGGGGAGAAGAGATGGCGTGAGACAGAGTCCTACCGGCAGCGGAAGTCTGTAGCTTACAGTGAAGCCACCCAAGGTGAGTGCAAATAGCCTTGAAGTTTCCTGCGTCCCTTTAAAAATTCACCTGAATTTTGCTTTTTGGTCCATATTGCAGTTTTGTTTTATATAAATGTCAGTACCTTTCAGAAAGTCTTGGGCCACATGGAGGTCCAGAGCATGTTTGAGATACAGCTATGGAGCCACAGACAAAGCTGCATGATGCTGATAGATCACCAGCCCAGAACTCACCTGCCCCCAGGAGCCAGACGACCACCCAGCAGCGGAGTGTGGGGCCCATGACAGAGGTGGGTATGAGGGGATCCCTTGGGCAGTGCAAGGAGGCTCGGCTTGCTGCAGCTCTGGGAACTTGGCCTCACAGCTGCCTCCCAGGAGGCGGGTCTTCCTGTGACATCACCATCTCCAGTGGATTCTGCGGTTTCTACAGGTGATCTTGTACGTCATTGGAATGAGACATCTTTTTTTTAGAACAATACTAACAGCCTGGCTCAGTGTATGTTGGTATAGTGTGGTGCAGGGAAAGCTGAGGGAGATGAGCACCTTTGTTATTGGTCTTTAGTTGATGAAAGATTAATTTTCACCCCATCCCTCTCCATGTTTTATTTTTTATTGAATCTACTGGGGTGACATTGGTTAATATAATTATATAGGTCTCAGGTGTACGATTTATATTAAATCATCTGTATAGGGTACTACTGTGTGTTTACCACCCCAAGTCAAGTCTCCTTCCATCACTCTTTATTCCCCCCTTTACATTCTTCCACCCCCCCACTTCCCTCCTCTCCTAGAACATTTTCTTATCATTTATTTGTTTATTTCCCTTGTGTTGATCCTACCTTTCCATTTGGTGTTGTTGAGCAGAGATAGCGACCAAGTATGAGATGTAGGTTCACAGGGATGTAGAGATCAGTGGGCCGATCAGGGGAAAAAAGGAAAAATTAGAGGCAGGAAATGATCTGACTCAGTTTCCTTCTCCCCTCCTTTGTCTCAAGATGCTTTGATCATTTCAAGCATCTTGAGGAAACTGATTTTATGGTTCATAATTTGTTTTGCTCATCTCTTGTCATTCTACTTGTGTTTTTAATAAAAGTACACATTTCAAAGAACAAACATTAGAAAAACCACAAACTCTCCCTCCCTCTCACCTCATGTCCTTTGATTCTTCGCATCTCTTCGAACTATTCTCTTTAATCATGGATGGGCTACTGATGTTTGAGGGGTCTCTCGTCCTTCCATTCTTCTGTTCTCCTTTCCTACCCTGTGGCGGTGAATAAAAATTACATGAAAGCCCACCTGTTGTTGGAAGAATGGAAAGAAGAGTCAAAGGAGAATGAGGCACAGTCCCACCCTGTTAGAATTTACAGGGGGCCTGGAGGAGATGCAGCCCGTACCTCTAGAACCCCCAGGCTTTGAGTAATAAATAAGATCATGTTAATCCTTAGGGTCCAAATCATGGCTCATGGCTTTGTCTTATTAATAGCAGGATCTGAAGGCCTCCCTCAAAGGCTGTCATTATTTGGGGGAGAATTCAGTAGGCTTCCCCAAATGTATAATTCAATCAAACTGCAGCTGCTCAGAGTCAGCACAGCTATTTCTTCTGGAAATACTCCAAATTGCTCACAAATGCTTTTGATGGAAATGCCATCACTGAGCATCCCTGCCCACAGGGATGTTTCCTGGGTGCTGTTAGAGCCACCCACCCTCAGGCTGCTGGGGCAGGGTTGGAGTTCACACAACCACAGGGAGATGAATTGTCTCATCATCATCTCGGAGCTGACCTGGTTAATTAGGGCCCAGAGAAACTCTGCAACTTGTGAACGGTTCCATCAGCTTCTGGATGTTACCAGGCTTCTGTCTGCAGGCTCAGACCCAGTCCAAGGGGTTAGGACAGATGCCTTAACCACCCAATTTTACTCTTTCCTGTCCACTACTGCGTGTTCCAGAGCAAACCTCCCTCTCACTGTGATGAGTACCAAACAGATTCAAGCAGCAAGCGTGTGTTGAAATCTTCAATGGTCAGACAGAGTATTGTCCAAAATGGGGCCCTTTAATATGTAAAAGAGGGTGATATTAATAATTATGCCAGGACCACAGGCCTGGACCAGGACAGCCATGGTAAACCAAACCCTTTGGTTACCTTACATGGATGACTTTCCTTTTTCTTTCTTTCTTTCTTTCTTTCTTTCTTTCTTTCTTTCTTTCTTTCTTTCTTTCTTTCTTTCTTTCTTTCTGTTTCTTTTCTTCCTTTCTTTCCTTCTTCTTTTTAAAATATTTTTAAAATTGATTCTTTCAGAGAGATAAACACTAATTTGTTGTTCCACTTACTTAGGCATTTATTGGTTGATTCTTCTTGTATGTGACCTAACTGGAGATTGAATCCATGACACTATCCTATCAGGACAAAGCTCTCACCAACTGAGCACCATGCCATGGCTGGTGGGCTTTCTAACACATTCCTTTACTGCCATCTGGCGTCACTGGGGAGATTGCAAGAAATAAATATGCACCATTTTCTTTGACATGACCACATTCCAAGTCAATGCCAATGTTGAAACGTATAGGAATGACCTATCGTGTCCCTTCCAACCAGATGATGTCTGGATCGGTGTTGTCCCCATGTCCAATGACAGTGATTCCAGATGGCTGCAGCATGTCTTCCACAGCAGTCCCTGGTGGTCACACACGTGGGAAAACATGAAGATCCATGCTGAATCAAAGAATCACAGTCATGTTGGACCTCGGAGATCGAATAGTGCAGGTCTCTTATTTTAAAAAGGGGAACACTGAGTCCCAGAAAGGGAGGGCGCTTGCCAACAGCTTGCAGGTAAAAATGAATAAATAACTTAATTTAATTAAATTTTAAAAAACCTTGCATTAATTAGGAAGCAGGCTCTCTGATTCAGTTCCAGTGTCCCTCTGGCTCTGGAACCTGCAAGAGAGAGAAAGGAGAAGTTGGGTGTTCAGAATTACAGCGTAGAAGTCCATGCTTCTTGGGCAGCTGGGCGAGGACTTGAGGTTTGAATTCCCGGGAGTGGCCCCAGAGTGTGGATTACTTCTCAGTGTCTCTTCTCCCTTCCCCTGGAGGGGTCGTGGTGTCTGCACCCTCAGGGGTGTTCCCTTTCAATCGCTGCCATGAGGAGGCTCAGCGGTGGTGCAGAGGCTGCCTGCACCTGCACTGTTAGCACTGGTCATTCTGCAAAGAGCTCACTGCCCCTGCGGGGTACACTGATGGACAAGCGATCTGCAGGGGAGAAGGGTTTGAGACAAAATCAATCAGGGTTTCTTAGTGTTTTGGTACTATCAACCTCGGATATCTGGTGTTGTTTGGGGGCTGTGTTTATAAACTCGGGATCCATGGACTGCCCAATTCTGCATTGGTGTAGAGGGATTTCAGCAGCCCAGAGGCACACCCTCTCAATCACTGAAGGGGCAATCTATGGTTTTGGTCTCTTCTGGGGGCAGCTGGAGATGCCACAATTAACCTGCTTCTTCTCAGGCAGAAAGTTGAGGAGGGGCCTTTTCAAGTGTCTTCCTGGACTTCAGGGGAGAGGAAGAGTTTGCACCCTGGAGGGAGCTAACTCAGCCTCACTGTGCCAGTACCACAGAAGCACAGAAGTGTGGAGCAGGGTCCCCCAGCTCTGTGGGCTGGGTCTTCAGGGTGAGGTAGGTTCCTTTGGGTCTTCCAGCTGAGAATCATTCTCGGGCATTCCCAGCTTAGCCTCGGGGTTTTGGTATTGGGAGGAAATCAGGAATTCCATTTCCTGCCTGAGATTTCGTCGATACCAGTAAACAAATACATGCCCAGAAATTGGATCACATCTCAAAATCACCCCCTGCCCCACATGTGTGACCCTGGGGCAGAGACTCCAGCTGCCTTCATGGCCTCTGTATCCTATGGGAGAAGATGGAGCTGTAGAGAGTGAAGGGCAGCCAGAGTAAAGAGTCTTTTACCCAAGTTCCTGTGCACTCCCAAGCTCATTGGCTTCCAGGAGACAGAGCGTGGGTTCAGTAGCGGAGCCTGGTGCCCTGGGCATGGTCAGCAGCAGGATGATGCTTTTCCAGCAATGGTTCCTGATGCGCCACAGCAAAGAGTTCCCTTGGCCCCACAAGGTAGGATCTGCTGGGACATCCCACAGCCCCTGGGGCACCTTCTGTGGGAGAGGGAAGATCCGTGGTCCAAATGGTTGTCTGCATGTTTATTTTGTCACATGGATATGTCAACAGGCTCCAATCCACGTGGGTTCTTAGGGAAGTCAAAGTTTAGGGACAACATAAGAGGAAGTGGAAACAGAAAAAAGAGTAAGAAGAAACAGAAAGAGCAAGAAAATGGTTGAGGACTACACTAGAGTTGCAATTTTACCAACCTCATCAAGTTCTCTTGGCCGAGTTCTCGAATTTCAGCACGAACAAAAATCACCAGGCGGTTGGCAAAATTATATATATTCCTATAACCCACCTCCAGAAACGCAGACTGGGAAATCTGACCCAGTCCTAGAATATACCTGTTGAACCTACACTTTAGGTGACACAGGCTCGTTGTCTCAGGCCAATGAAAAATGTTTTTTGAATAAAGATTTTAATAGGCTACACTAACAAAAGACTGCTTAATGCATTAGACTGGAATGCTAAAATTGAAGTAGAACAAGGGACAAAAGAAATTTTTCTGAGAAAGGAATATTTAATGGACTGATTTAAGTTCTGGAAACTGCATTAAAAATAAAAAAGAATACATGGGAAACATGAAGCCTAATGGAACAATTTGATTAAAGCTGAGAGAAGAGAAATTTCCAGAACCTAAGCTTTAGTCCATATTGTCAAATGCTTCAAAGAGCTTAAGCAAGCAGAGAAACAAAAATAAACCTTTGGTCTAGTAAGAATATAGTTTTAATCCTTAGGATAGTCTCAGAAGAATGGAAACAGTCCAAAAAAAAAGGTGAAGACAACCTTCAAAGGACTCACCCCCCTGTGGGAAAGCAAAGGTGTGGGTCAGCGGGAGTCAGACTGAGTTTGGAGAGGAGCAAACATGGCCACCAAGAAGCACTCACTCCCCAGCACTGGGAAAGGGACTTAAAAACAGAGGCCCTGACACTGGATAGACCAGGAAAGTGGGGGCTTCTACTTCCAGGGGTCAGAATAAAAAGAAGTATGTTCAAACCTCAGTGAGTAAAACAATTGGTGTTCACTTATACTGAAGTAAGAGCCTATGAGACTAGACAGAGTACATAAACTTCTCTAACACTGAGTGGCAGGTGATGTAGCAACGACCAGTTTGTAAGCAGAAAGATCGCCAAATTTTCACAGAGGTGCTCAAACCCAATGTCTGCTCAATGTGATAGAATAATGTCTCTAGGTGGGGCCAATGCCAGGATGCCTCCTTTGGTGTGCATTTGATGATGAATGTGTTGTTCCCCATCACAATCTGGATCCCATGCCTGAGGGTTTTTCCATGTCTGCATCCACTTTCCATTGCACAGTGGGTGTTGTGTCACTGCGAATGCATTAATCTGTCTCTCCCCCCAGCCCCAGGGACACCAATTAGTGACATTGTAGGTAAGGTCTAAATTGACATGCTTTTTGCGTTACCTGGATTTAATTCCTTAATAAAGAAATTCACCAGAGTCCCCACTTGGTCTGACATTCTAACAACTAAGGATTCAATTGCCTCTCTAATTCCTTCTCTTTTCCTGGGTTCTCTGTGCCCAGCCAATGTAGTAATCATGCTTTGTTCCTCACTTATGAGGGACATCTGCGGGGTGTCCTTGATTTGTAAGGTCAAAGTGACAAGCCCCAAGCTGCCACATTGTTCAAAATAACCCCACCCTCTTGGCTAATGTTGAATTTTCCAAGAGCATGTTCTTGAGTAAAATGTATTCATTTTTTCCCCTGTCTCCTGGATTTGTAATCTAGCATGAGCAAGGTTAAGTTGGCCCTTCTCACTGTGGCTGAAGTGCTGGCCTCTGAATCTATAAACTTGTACCCAGTGTGAGATCTAAGAAATGAAGAAGGCAGTTAATAATAAGGAAGAATATGGGACCAACAAGATGGAAAAGGAAATGAGTTGTCAAATCAGCCGTGTGATGATTCCAGGACTTTATTCCACTTTGTTCTGGAGAAATCTCTGTGTTCTCATTTTGGTGCCATGGGCTATGTGTTTAGCTTTGCAATGAATTATGCTTTGGTGTAAGCGAGCTCATTAGCTTTCATTTTCTTTGGACCTGGTATGCCACCTGCTTCCTGAGCTGCACCCAGGGTGAGTTTGTGCATCAGGCAGAGCTGATATTTAGCAGTGTGGATTCACTGCTGGCGCAGAGATACATGGCTGAATCCTGCAGCTCCGCACCCTGGATCTCCAGGCTACAGGGTGAGTTTTGAGGACACTCAGCTAAAAATCTATTCTTGGGCAGCTCTGTTTCAAAAACATTTTTGTCCTGGAAGGAAACCAAGAACTTGAACTCTTTTGCCAGGATCTGTTGGTACCAGTAAACGTACCGATGTCCCTTTTGGGGGACACAAGACATTTTCACATTCTGTCCTTCCCCTTTGATCAGGTGCCCTGGGGCCTGGGTGACTTCTGCATCAAGGGAGCCTGGGGAGAGAGCAGACAGAAGTTGGAGACCTGGCCCAGGGGGGACACTGATGGGGTGGGAGTGGGCAGCTGAAACTCACAACAGGGACTTACCTGCACCCAGGAGACAAAGGACCATGGAGCAGATAACTGTGGCACACATGGCAGGCTTAGGAAAACACAGAGTCAGGCAGGGTCCCCTGAAGCATCCTTAGCCCCCCCCCACGGCTGCTCTGTGACGTGATCACTTCGTGGAACCCAGCAGTCTTGGCGTGAAGACACCTTTGCTTTTGTCACAGTAGAACCACTTCTTTAGCTGCAGTCCCCAGCTTCTTCATGGATTTTTTTCAATCTATACATCCTTATGAATTATTTTCTGAATGATTGACATTACAGATATACTAGAATTAAAATGTGTATTTGTTTCCCTGCTTGCTTGATCTTTTTGAAGCATTTGACAATATTGATTATTCTGAAGTTCCGGAGATTTCTCTTCCCTCAGCTTCATTCACATCATTTTTAATTAGTGCATGCTTTTTTTTTTCATGTACTTTCCAGCACCTAATTCTATCCATTAAATTTAGGATCCTGCTCTGATCAAGTAAAAAAAAAGAACATGAAACAACTATACTCAGTTGTTGGAAAAGTCGACACAGGACTGTGATTCTTCAGAAGCAAGAAAAAAGGGGTCTTGTCCACACGCAGTGTGGGGGGACAGAACATGAAAAATTTGCTGAGTTGAGTAGACAGAGATTAAAGGTTAGAGGGGACAAAGGCAGCTAGGGTTTGTGAGGAAGACTACCAGATAGGAGAAAGCTACACAAAGAAGTCGGCAAACCATCATCATAAGGACCAGAACTTTTGTCTCAGTAGTGTCTGTGTAGGATTAAACTTAAAAAAAAAAAAAAAAAAAGAAATCTACAGGGCCCAGGTTGGGTGGCTCAGTTGGTTGGAGTGTTGTCCCCTACACCAAAAGGTGGTGGTTTGTTCAATCCTCTGGTGGGGTGCACACGGGACATAACTGGTTAATGGGTTAACATCTCTCTCTCTCTCTCTCTTTCTCCTTTCTTTCTCTCTAAGATAAATAGACTTATCCTAGGGTGAGGATTAAACAAACAGACATTAGAGAGGAACCACAGATTCACCAGCATCCCTGGATGCCCAAGCTTTCGCAGTGGGACAAGGTCAGGCTAGAGCAGGAGAAGGCAAATGACGGCCCAGAGGCTGGCTGTCTGTGGATGTAAGGATGAGAACCATTTCTACAATGACAGAGTGAAGAGCTTGGAATACCTTCTCTCTAGAGAAAAGATATAACCGCTGAAAGTTTAGAAACAACCATTGAAAGCCTTTGAAAATTATCTCAAGAGGCTCTGGCTGGTGTAGCTCAGTGGATTGAGCACTGGCCTGTGAACCAAAGGGTCACCAGTTCAATTTCCAGTCAGGGCACATGCCTGGGTTACGGGCCAGATCTCTAGTCAGGGGAATATGAGAGGCAACCGATCAATGTATCTCTCATGCACTGATGTTTCTCTCCCTCCCTTCCCCTCTCTCTAAAGTAAATAAATAGAACCTTAAAAAAAGAAAATTATCTCAAGAGCATATAGCAATGGAGAACACAAGGACCCATCCATTCCCCAGGGAGGGGTGAGTTGCCAGCAGTTCCCATTCCCACCAGTTGCATGGTGTGGAAACTCTGTTCCGGCAAATGCAGCCCAGGCACCTGCTTCCTTCCTCCTTGGAGCACCCACATGTAGCGTGGCCCCTCTGTTCCAGAAACAACAGGCCAAGAACGCTTGGTCCCAATCCTTCTCATTCCGGCTTCCTTGCAGGGTGGAGATTCCATGCTGGGAGGGGCAAGTTGAGAAGATCAAGGCATACCACCCCATCTGGGGGCCCACCCAGAGAGTAGGGACCCCCTCCAAGGGAAGTGGACCACTGTCCCTGCCCCCAGCTGTGGAACCGTGGTGCAGAGTTCTGTCCCTAGGGCAAGGTGGGCCACAGGCATAGCTCGACCTTGACTTAGGGGCCCACCAGGCCTTGCTGACCTTTTCTTATGACTTTCTTATGAATGAACTTCTTTGCTGCTTCCCTCCCTTCTCCCTTCCCTCTGTCCTCACAGGGGTCGTGGTTCTTCCAGGCTCCTCACTCCTTCCTGTTTCCTCTCACAGGCATGTTTAAACTCAGGCTTGGCACCCGCTTCTTGGAGGACCTGAACTAATGCCCGTGGAGCAAACTCTGGTAACTTTAATATTTCTTCTAAAGCCCCACATCGAGCTTTCGATATGAGTCCTATCTGTGCCACTTAAATGGTTCATCAGTTTACATCAGGCGAAATAGTTCAGTGCGTTGGGAATAACGCATGCTCAAGGCAATGCCTGTGCCTTTGAATCTGGAACGAGTCTTTAGTGGTTCTAGTTGTCCTTATTGATAAGAAACCTGGGGAGTGATCACAACATGCCTCCGAGGGTGGCTTCCTCTCCTTCAGGAGAGGACTTATGGGAGGGGTCTACCTCTTACCTGGGCCTGCTCTTACAGGGGTGTCCAACCTTTTGGTGTCTCTGGGCCACACTGGAAAAAAAAGAGTTGTCTTGGGCCGCACATTAAATACACAAACACTAACAAAACCCAAAAAAGTCTCATAATGTTTGAAGGAAGTTGACGATTTTGTGTTGGGCCTCATTCACAGCCATCCTTGGGCACAAGTGTCCTGTGGGCCACAGGTTGGACACCCCTGTTTAACATATTGCTAAGTCTCCAACTTAAACATGAAAAAAAAGTTTCTGTTTGTCTACTGCAGAGAACAGAACAGGTGATTAAAGTGATTCTGGGGAAACACCACCAGCTGAACGTTGGGCGTGTGTAACCACTTTTCCACCCTTGGCATAACCGTCCAGGGTTTTGTAGGGTCTACACCAACTTCCCTCTGCACAGGAGATAATGACAGCTGGGAACCCACTTCCCATGGCGGTTGTGGGAGGGCAGCAAGGTCTGGAGGTGGTGTGTGGACCCGGAGCAGGTTTGTGAGTGGAGGGGAGGCAGCCCTCTCACTCTGTGTCTCTGCTGGTTGCACAGAGGTACACAGCAGAGTCCCCCAAGCCTGGCGAACGGATGCCCAGCGAACAGAAGGATGTGTTAGTCCGGCTGGGTTGGAAGTTGTCCGAGGTGTCTGTTTCTTTGTTAAGGTTCTGATCATAGTAGTAGAGCAGCAACTTTGGGCCTTGGCTCAGCTTCTGTTGGTACCAGTACATGACATCATGATTCAGGTCCTGAGAACAAGTCAAGGTCACTGGCTCCCCCATCCTGGTAATCTGGTATCTTGGGCTCTGGGTGACTGTGGCACCCAGGTGACCTGCAGAAAAAGAAGGAACATTTAGAGACAGAGTCAAGAGGGAGACAGATGTTGCTGCCGTAAAGAAGGACACTGAACTGGGATGTGATAGCTTTAATTAAGAATGTCCTCAGGGCTCACCTGCTCCCAGGAGACAGAGGGCCACACAGTGGAGAAGCCTGGGACCCATGGCAGGGCCAGAGAAGGCAGTCTGTCCCAGACTCTGATCTCTGGGTTTGAAGGTGGGAGCTCCGAGAGCCCCTGGTCCCTGAGAGGTGGGTCTGCCTGGTCCCTGAGAGGTGGCTCTGCCCCTGGTCCCTGAGAGGTGGCTCTGACCCTCCCTGAGAGCCAGAGCTGCTGTTGACATCACCAGGGCAAGGGCCACCCCTTGCGATATTATACGCAGCTTCCTACATGGCTGAAGAGGCTGGGCTGGGCTGGATCAGGCATGAAGTAGAGGAGATGTCTTCCTATTTGTTCCTCTTCCTGTATCTTACATTCACCCAGTCCTCTCCTTGCTACTTACATCCTATAAGGCAGGTCACACGTTCCTCAGCACATGGCTATCTTTTGCTCAGGTTGCACTCATGAATCTATGGTGCCATGTCTTTGGTTTATTATCTACGTCCTTGATGCATGAAAGGTATCTGCCCGCTAGCCCCACCCAAATGCAGAAATCAAGCCCTGTACTTGCCACAGCGCATCAAGGAAATTGGTGACAACACACTGCCCCCTTGTGGCCGCTAGAAAAGTGGCGGGGGCAGCCTTCCCACACTGCCAGAGGAGACCAGTGCCGTGGGTGCGGATGCAGAGGGCTTAGAAATATGTCTAGCCCCGTTCTGCTCCTACTAGACCCGTGCCCCTCGGACCAACACATGCTAGGGGACTGACAAGCGTCACTAAAAATAACACAGACCCGTTGTGACAACTGGAATTGACCTCCAAGACACTCAGGATTGGCTGACGTGCCTATGTGTACGGCTAACCCATGTTTTCTCCATTTAAAAATCAGACCCGATGGAGAAAGGAAAACCACCTTTCATCTGTGTTTATCAACTTGGCTATCCCACTCAAAAACGAGATTTTAAAAAGTGTTTGGAAATGGATTTGTGTGGGACAAATGTAACTGAAACTTACCACCACCCTTGCCACCTCTGTCAGAGAGCCACCTACAAACCAGGAGTAAATGCATGTTCACTCCTGTCTTTATTTCCATCAGGGAGCCATTTAAATCGTGAGGAGAAGGGTTGTGACGATGTGGCCACAATCAGAGTCCCAATCCCTTTCAGATCAGAGCAGTGCGGTGGACCAGAATCACACTGTGCCTTCCCCGAGGGGTGACACACTCACCTCAAAAACAGGTGATAGACCGAGTTCTGTGTAAGGAGCCCCAGGACCTGGACCACAAACATGTCACAGATCCTCTTGCATTTCAAGAGTTAATGCCGGTTCTGCCTCTCTTCTCCTCTGTGGCGGATGAAGCTCGGGGGAGGACTTCTGTCTAGAGCTGCCGCTGGTGGCAAGGGGCAGGCAGAGGTGTGTTTTTGCACAGGGAGGGCCTGAGTCTGAAGCACTGTGCTGAGGCTGCTGGCGCAGAAATAAACTCCGGAGTCCTCTGGCCGTGCAGGCTGGATCCGCAGGGTGGAAAACGTCCCTTCGGTCCTCTCCGCTGAGAACCGATCAGCGGGCATCCCTGATTTATCCTGTATGAGCTCTTTTAGGAAGCTGATCAGAAAGGTTATTTCTTTCCCCGCGGCACGTTGGTACCAAAGAAGAGTCTCATGTCCAGAAATCGGGTCACATCTCAGAGTCACGGCCTGTTCCTTCTGTATGACCCTGTGGCTTGGGAACTGAGTGACTCCAGGGGAGACGGGTCCTGTGGGAAAAGATGACAACGTAGAATATGTCGCAAGAGTGTCTTGGGCAAAGGCCAAGTGGAGACATTCCCACGTGGAAGGACTCACTTGCTCCCAGGAGACAAAGGGACACCAAGCCGAGAAGCCTGTAAACCATGGCAGGATCCAGATAGAAATAAGAACTTCTCCAGATGATGGGACAGGTAAGTATGAGCAAAAATGAAAGCAAATCCGTGTCCCCTTGGCCCTGAAAGATGTGTCCCACAATAACATCACCATGGTCATCAATGCCTGTAGTCTCAAGAGTGCCCTCTAGGGAAGAAGAAGGGTAGCAGAAAGAGCAAAGTTTCTCTCAAGTTTGTCTCTTGAGGGGTGATGAACCAGTGCCAACAACATTGACCTGTTTTTGCATTGAAATAGGAACCATCCTCCTGTATGTTCCTGAAGAAGCTGCCACAGTAAACAGTGTCATTTCCTTTCCAGATCAATAGATTTTCATCCTCTAAGAATAAAATGTAAGGCCTTAAAATGTCCCTGCAACTTAATAGATGACCAAAAAATGTTTTGGTTCAGTTATGCAACTTAATTAAGATGTACCTTGGATGCTGTTTTGATGGACCAGGCAGCTTCCTAGGACAGGGGACATGGTGTGCAGACAGACCCCCATTAGATAAGGGAGAGAAAGGATTCAGATATTTACAAAGAGATAAAAAAAACACCCAAAGAAAAGTCTATCTGGGTCTACCATGTTTCTATTCTTGTACTAACATGCATGTACGTTTTGCAGATAATAAAGTGCAATGTTACATGTAAGTGAAATTATGCATATGATGCATGGACATGGGTCCATGTCCCATGGACATGGACAATCAGTTCCCAATGATGTGGGGACTGATTGAGGGAGGGGAGAGGGTGGGTCTGGGTGGAGGTGGGAATAGGGGGGGAATGGGAACAACTATAATAGAGTAAACAAGAAACAAAGTGAATCTCCAGGAGGGTAAAATGGTAGAGCCACTGTGGAAAATAATTGGGTAGTGTCCTTGAAAAATAACAACATGCTTCCCATACAACTGAGCAACCTCAGTCTCACTCTGGGGCATAAATTGAACCCAGAGCAATAAGAATTTACGTCCACACAGAACCCTGTACACAAAAGTTCGTACATAGCCACTTAACTTGTAATAGTGAAAACTGGGAGACAACCAAAATATCCTACCATAAGTGAGGTGCATCCATGCTGTGGGGTGCTTTTCAACAATAAAAAAACCCCAAGAATTACTGGTAAATGTAACAACTCAGACGAATCTCAAGGGCAATGTATGAGTGAAAAGAGCCAGTCTCAAAAAAGACCACCTACCATGTGAGTCCGTGTATAAAACATTCTCAAAACGACATCACAGAAATGGAGAATTGATCGGTGCTTCCCAGGGGTCAGGGATGGCGTGTGTGTGTGTGTGTGTGTGTGTGTGTGTGTGTGTGTGGTTGGGCAGACTGTGGTGCCAAGCTAGCTCTGTATATCAATTGCCTCTTCATACGTGAATAAAAATGACTTAGAACTGCTTGCACTTGGCAACAAGGTCAATTTCCTGGTCTCCATATTTGAGGATAATTATGGAAGATATAACCATTGGTTGAGACAGCATGAAAGCTACACTGAAAAGTTTCATTCTCCTTTGCAAATTCCTGTGAACCTGGAGCTATTTTTAACTGATAAGTGAAGGAAAGGGGACTTCTAAAAATGTGAAAAAGGTGTATTGTGACAATTAGAAAGATAATTATGGGAGAATTAGAAGAAAATGGGAAGGGCTGAGCAGATCTGAGGATATAACCATAGTCCCACTTAACCATCGCCAATGGTGCAGGCAAAGGCAGCAGGGACCCCTGATGACTACCTGAGACAGTCCAGCCGAGATAACGATCGCTGTGCAGTAGCTGCACAGTTTCAAGCTGCCTTCCTCACTTGAAAGCCCCATGGGATACATTAACTCTCTGCCTTGGACTCAGCCACCCTCTGTGAAAATTTGTGAGGAATGCCAGGAACCAGCCCCTACTGCCTTTGCTTCTAGAAGTTTCCTAATGCCATACATTCAGTGGATTCTGTCCTTGGCTTCCCTACCAAGAGGTGGGGAACTAAACCCCTGCCTGCGATCTGACAACAGGGAGCCCTAGAAAGCCAGCTAAGGAGGAATGGGGCTAGAGGGGAAGCAGACGGTTTCTGCACAGGGAGGGGGTGACTGTGCTGCACTGTGGCTAAGCTGCTGGCACAGAGGTACAGGGCTGAGTCCTCGGGTTCTGTGCGCTGGATCTTCAGAGTGGAGAACGATTTGTTAGACATCTGAGCTGAGAATCGCTTGTTGGGCATCCCTGTATCATCCACAGGACTTTGATTGTTGAAGTAAATAAGAAACTTTATTCCCTCCACTGAGGTCTGTCTGTACCAGTGAAGGTAGTCATGGCCTGAGATTGGCACACAATTCAGAGTCACTTCTTGTCCCCTCTTTGTCACCTTGTACCTGGGTGTCTGGGTGACTCCAGCATGTGTAGGCTCTGTGGAAGACAACAGCGTTTGGGAACAGGATAAGGAATGTGAATGGAAACAGAACTGGGAATATCAACAAAACGCAGAATCTGAAATGCTGAGGACTCACCTACTCCCAGGAGAGAAAGGGCCACCAAACAGAGGAGCCTGGTGGCCATGGTGGGGTGGGGCAAGAGGAGGCTTCACTGAGATGAAGCCCCTGAACACAGGGGCAGGACTTCTGGTTCCTCTTGGCTTCTCAGGGTGGAGTGTGGTTCAGTAGTAACATCGCTCTCCATCATTTCTCATAGGACCTCCTCCAACAGCGTATATTAATCCTCCCCTGTTGAATTGAGTGGAATTGGTCATGTCTCTTTTGGGGTTTGTTGGGATGATTCAAAGTCTCCAAGACCTTCATCAATTGTCACTTCTCTAAACCCTGTGCTTTCACCATTCCCTGTTCTCTGCTGTATCCACTGTCTACTGTCTGCAGGGCATTTCCAAGTGCATGTCCCATCGGCACTGCATATACTGGGCACCAAGACAGTACTTTGCTCTTCACGTGCTTCATACTCCTCTCTAGGCACTCCCTGACTCCCAGACACACCAATCTAAATAATTCTGGCTGAGCTGCAGCTTTTACCCAGTCCCTCAGAGGAGAATTTAGATTGGATGTATGGGTGATTATGAGGGTACGTAAACAGATGCCCTGGGGAAGGAGGGTTGGAAAAAACCAGGGTTGGCTTTATAGTACTAATCCTTGTACCTGGTTTAGATAATGTGAGGTATAAGACATGAGAATTTCAAAGCAGTTGGGTATATGGGCTGATGTTCAGCGACTATAAGAATCATAAGATGTAGATATTGCATTAAAGAAAGAAAGAAGACAGAGATAGGAGTATGGAATGATAAAATGGAAAATTGGGAAGGAGACTATTTGTTGTTCACTCCCTGGTCTAGACCTGGAAGCACTTTAGAAAAGATTGGAGGCAAAATGTAATTGAAAATGAGGATGTCAGGACACTGAGAAACCCAACCCTTGTATAAATTGTCCACAGGATGATTGTCCACTGCCATCACCAGTGGTGGCAAGATCAGTGGTGGGGAGAAAGTGAATGAGGACAGATCTGAGGGTAGAGAAGTCAG